CTCCCCGGGCCGCCCCCGCAGTTGCCACTGGTTGCCTCCCTCTGTGGGGCTACTGGCAGGGCGATCGGGGGCCCCCGCTGGCACCTGCCTTGGCCGGCCTGGGGCCTGCGGGCTGGGGGCAGCTCCTGCATTGAGCATCTGCCCCCTGGTGGTCAGTGCACAACGTAGCAACCGGTCACTACTCCACCGGTCGCTCGGCTGTTCAGTCAATTTGCATATTAGGCTTTTATTATATAGGATTGATTTCAGAGAGGAAAGGAGGGAGAGAGATAGAAACATCAATGACGAGAGAGAATCATTGATCGGCTGCCTCCTGCACGCCCCACACGGGGGATCGAGCCCTCGACCCAGGCTTTGGCGGGAAAACTCGGAGCCACGCCGGCCGGGCTCGATGTGTCCGCACGGCCCACCTATCCTTCCTGGAGCATTTGCTATTCTGTGGTCCAGAAACTGAGGTGTTGAAACCAGATAGAATATCACCCAGACCCGTTCTTCCTGTGTCTGCCTCTTAAGAATATCTGTGCTCCCTAAACCCCAGGGCCAGCTCAAGTGTCCCAGAGCAATGTCCTTCTAGAATGTTCCTCAGAGTGAGGCGTCGCCTGGGCTCAGGAGAGAGGAAGCTGGGGGCGGGGCCCAGGTGTGGGTGGCCCCCGACGGGACGCTCTCGCCAAGCACACGCGTGTTCCAGGTGTTCCAGTGCCTGCTCATCGACGGGGAGAACGCGGGGGAAGGCGCCCTGCGGGAGGCCGAGCGCTTCGTCATCAGCAAGGAGGAGTTCCAGGGCTTCCTGGACCGGCACCGCGGGGTGCCCTGCCTGGTGCCCGAGTGCAACGACAAGGTGGGTGGCCCGCGCCGGCCTGGCCCACCGCACGCTCAGATCCATTCCGATGGGGCCCTCTCCCCAGCCCCACGGGGTCATGTAGAGACGGGGGGACTAGGACAGTCTAGGGCTGAGGCTGCCATCTGTCCTGCACCCTCCAGCCCTGGGGCCTTCCTTTTTAAAAAAAAATATGTTTACTGATTTTAGAGAGAGGAAGGGAGAGGGAGGGAGAGATAGAAACATCCATGGTGAGAATCATAGATCGGCGGCTTCCTGCACGCCCCCTCCTGGGGGTCGAGCCCGCAACGGGGCATGTGCCCGTGACCAGAACCGAGCCCGGGACCCTTCAGTCCACAGGCCGACGCTCTATCCACTGAGCCACACTGGCTAGGACAGCCCCACGGCCTTTGCGTGAGCCCAGGGTGCCCCCTCCTCCGGCGGGCGTGGTGCCGCTGTGCAGGGCTGGTGTGAGAGATGAGCACTGGTCTCTCCTCCTGCAATAGAGACGGTGAAAAGGGGGAAGTGGGTGCCGGGGGAATCGGCCACTGGGAATACTGGGTAACGAAGAGCAGGCTCTCCCACCGCGAGAGGAGAGGGGAGACGTTTTTCCAAGCGACACGGGACCCTTCGGGCACAGGGCAGGGAACCCGGGCTTTGAGACTGGTGGGTCGGAACACACACACCTGCTGCCCTGGAGGGTTGG